TGGATTTAATTCTATGTGTACTTTTTCATACCACTTTCTTAAAGCTAAAGATATGCCCTGTTGAAAAAATTATTTGCAGGAATATCGCCCTTTTAATTGGTTTTTCTAACATTCATAAAGAGAGCTTTGCAATGTTTGCCAGTACCACAGTGTAAGAGCAGAGATCATGCATGCTAGTGCCTCTTTCCTTTTGCCTTGGGCATCCCTCAGCAGGATGGGTCACCAGCTGCTCTACAGGAGTCACCCACAAATACTTGGCCAGGGTTCCTGCTTTTGCCGCATGTGCCCAAGCTAGCACGGCCTGATCTGGAAATACGGTGTCAATATGTGCCATCAGTGTTTCCATTAGTACATGAAGGATACCGGATTCATGAGCTTGGACTAAGTGATCTTCCCTGAATGAATTATCCAAGACATCTGCCCAGCAAAAGAAACAATGCCAATTCTTTGTACATAAAATAAAAAATCTTCAATTATGACTGGAAAAAAAAAAAAAAAAGAGCATGGATTCTAGAGCTGGTTTGCCTGGACTTGAACCCTGTCTCCACTGCTTTCTTGCTTTGTGCCTGGGACAAGTAATTTAACTTCTGTGGCCCAGCTCCTCATCTGTAAAATGGAGTTGATAACTAGTAAATATTCCGTAGGCTAATCATGAGGATTAAGCAGATTAATACTGTTACAGCATTAAAGAATAATATCTGGCATACATTGTTATTTTGAGAATATTTATGTGTTTTGTTCATCTCCAAAGAAAATTAGTAGAGCTTTTCTTACTTCAGAAGATCTTGTCAAGGTGATGACAGACTTTGACAAGCTTGTTGAGAGTTTGTAAACAGAAATAGTAATTTGACCATTCTGTGAATAAAGCTAGCAGAGTTAAAATAAAAGCTTGCCTGGGCTTTTGGACAGTTATTCCGAATTGGTAATGAGTGTGAGTCTTCTTGAGGACCATGAAAGGAAGGAGAAGAGTAATGGAATTCTGCCCTTGAATTTAAACTAGGATTCCTGACCTGTATTACTGAGTTCAGATCAAGTGTTTCAAACATATTTTCCTTTATTCTTTGCCTCTTTTCCTATAATTTCTTCCCAGAAAGTTCTTTTGATTCCAATCCGTTGTTATCATTTTTAACATAGTGCTTCTGTTTCTACACCTGTAACCTATAAATCACAGGTATCCATCTAAGCCACATACTTGGTGAGTCTTTTTTAAAACTTTCATGCCTTTCATCAAAATAGCATATTGCTTCTGATATAAATAGTGTTTGTAATAGAAACATGAAAAAGATATTTTAATGTATGTTTGTATATGATGCTTATTTAAATTTTAGATAAATGTTTTAACATTTAAATTCTGTTTTTTTGAGAGCTGTATGTTTTTTGGTCTTCTCCAGAGAAAATTAGAAAAGCTCTTCCTAATTCAGAAGACCTTGCAAAGTTAGCACCAGACTTTGACAAGATTGTTGAGAACCTCAGCTTATTGAAGGACTTTTTCACTACAGGTAAGCAAAAGCCTGTGTTTGAGCTAATTTTAAATTTCAGGAACCACAAAGGAAAATTACTTAGATGTATATATATATTTTCAGATCCCATCTTTTAAATTAAAACAGTAAATATTCATTTGGTGCAAATGAAAAACAGACTTAAAAAAATGGATAAACACACAGTTTTGTAACATAGTGGCTTTAATCTTTATTTAGCCATTAAAGTGAAAATTTGCAAGAACTTAGATGTGGTTGACTTCAGTCAGTGAAGGGGAAAAAAAGCCACATATTCTTGACAACTAGATGAGACTTCCTATGTGTTTACTTTTCATAATTGTTTACAGCCAATTTGGTGATCTTAGAACAAATTTAATTATGGTAAACCATAATGAGTAGAATTTATTGAGGTTAGTCTTGGCCTGTTTGCCAAGTTACTACTCTATCATAATATAAATCTGAGATCTCGGATATCTTTGTTTGCTCATCCCTGTTAAAGTTCACATTTCTATTTCCCCTTTTGCTGATTTTTCACAGGTCACAAATTGGTTAGTGAAATCATAGGAGCTTCTGACCTACTTCTCTTGTTAGGTGTGTAAACAGACATTTTTGCTGACCTTAACATGCCTTTTAAATGCTTCTAATAAACTAGTTATAAATACAATTGCAGATCAAATTATAATACTGCTTATGCTGAATTTTAAGACTCCAGAACTTCATTAGGGAAACTCATATCCTTTAGGTGGAAATAATAAAATAATTCTTTTGTGGTAAACTAAAATTCCTAAATATGTATCTGTTATAAGATTAAAGCTATTAAAAGAGACAGGTTGCTTTGCCAAAATATTTTCTTGAAATATATCTAATCGTTTTTGATAATTGACATGAAAAGTAATTTTAGTATGTCTCATCTGACCTGTCATGGTTGACATTTTACCTTGATTTTCTTACTGTCTGTGGTCTGTAATAGCAGTGATATGTGGTCAGTCTGTAAGTACCTGCTTATGAAATAATCCTTACCAAAGATTTGCCTTATTTTATTGTACATTCAGTCATGGTTTTTTTTTTGAAAAATAAGCTAAACATGCTATTTTTTTCTATATTGATTTTGTTTTTAGTCCCTAAATAGATTACTAGTATTGTTCCTTAAAATAAGATTAGTTTTCTATAAGTGATTTGATGCTTTGGATCTGAGTTGCTCTAAAAATCCAATTATCTTTTAATGAACTCCATTTAATTTGGAATATAGCTTAAGACTATTGACATCACTGGAAAACTTAAAGAACTGAATATTTATCTTTAAGGTTCACCTGGAGAAACAGCATTTAGAGCAACAGATCATGGATCTGAAAGTGACAAGCACTATAGAAAGGTAAGTAAAAGGAGAATTCTGTACATAGGTAGTCCTGAAAGATTTTTGAAAGTTTTACCTTCTTGGAAGATCTGAAAATGGTATCATTTGAAGAGCAAATGCAAAGACATCTGAGTAGAGGTACTGTTACTTGTGTTAGTGGAAGTGCAAGGTATGTATGACAGTTCTGCAAATATGATTACAGAAGCCTGTTTCCTTCACATATGTTCTTTGAAATACTAATTTCAAGAGTTATCTCCAAGAAAGGATTTTGTTGCTAAACCTGTGTGGGAAAAGCTAGATTGGAAAAAACCAAGAGGCTTCTCTTCTCTAGGACTTCTTAGGCCTTAATATACTCATGTGCATTATGAATCTCTAAGAGGAGTCCAGGTGTACACCATTTTCTAGATTCAATTAGCAACAGAACCCTTTTTTCATGAAATTTCTTCTAGGGACTGCTATTTCATGGCATATACTTAGGGAAAATGTTGAGGAAGTAAGAAGTGAATTATTAGGGAATACATCAAGTCTGTTACATTGATGGTCGACTAAGTTACATATGGGGTTATTTAGACAGTGCCAGTTTGAACACATAAGCATTAACAAAAGTATATGAAAGTTACAGGAGACTTGCTGATGTAGAATAACATCGCCTTCTATTTATATTCATATATTAATCCAGTATTTTCTTAGTCTTCATTTTTTTTTTTTCCATTCTTTTGGAGTTATAAAATAACTGATTCCTTGAAAATTTTTAAAAGTAATAATTGGAGAAGTAGATTTATGGGAGAGAGTATTCAATGAACATTTTTAAATTAAGTGTGGAATATGTAACTCTTAGATTGAAGATAGTTTCATTACATTGAGGGAAATGATTTTGTGTTTGTTTGGGAGGTAGGAAGAAGAAATAATTCCTTTGTATAGGTTTCCATTTCCCTCCCTGTCTTTCACATTTAAAGTTTTTTATTGATAGTCTAAATTTTAATTAACTATATTTTGATCATTTTCTATTACAGTGTAAATTTGTTAAACTAGCAAGCCAGAAGTGAGAGAGTAAAAACTGGCACTGGCAATGAAATAGGCATGCTCTAGGACTGTTAAAAGTCAACTGAAGTAAAAATGACAGGGAATTAAGGGAAACAGAAGTATCAGTTTGTTTGACTTGATATAGATAGAATGAACAACACAGTCAATTGATCATCTGTGGTTTCCAGCCTGGGGTATCTATACTTTTAGTTGTTCTGGAAGGTTATCATTAAAGTCTTCTATAAATGAGTATCCACAGAAAGCATATATTTATTTCCACATAAGCTTCATAGGCTAACTAAACAGTTTGTGCGCACTTATAATTTATGTTTTATTGATCAAAAGTTTTGATAGCTATCTAAAACATTTGTCCACTGGAGAAAAATGTTAGAAAGAGCCCTTGGTGTGAACTGAATAATACTCTTGAAACCTGGAGAGCTTCTGAATGGCTTGAGGAACAGATAAAGAATTGGGTTGGTGAGCCTGTTTTAGTGAGTTACTGACCTCATTTGGTTTGTAAATAAGCAAATTTCTGTACATTTGTGTATATCACAATATATATAGATGACAAAACTGTTTGGGGTATCTCCTTTTTAGATTCTGTAAGATTGTTGTGTTCTGGTGAAAATTAATTTGCTAACTGAGAAATTATCTGTGTTTCTGTCGTACAATGTTTCTGATTGCTTATAAACATCTCATAGAGAAATAAAGATTACAGTTGTTCTGAAGATAACATGTACATTTATAGTTTACAGAAAATACCTCAAGGACCTTTAAAAGCCCAAATCATGGAATGTGCTTTAAATAAAATTATTCATATGTACTGCATTAATACTCCTCATTCCACATAGTACTCTAATTCTAATTTTTTATGGCTTTACTTTTGTTGGAACTTAAGTTGCAGACAGAAGGTGAAATATCACTCTTCCTTTTTCTTCCCCCAACCTGATTTCCACTTATTCCTAAAGCTCAGCTTCTCCAAACCATCTCCTATTTACTTAGTTTGCATTCTTACTATTTTATAGGCCATATTGTCACTAAAGGAGCTCTGGTGTCGTAGTGCCTAAGGCATTTGACTGCTAACCAGAAGTCTGGCAGTTCAAACCCACCAGCTACTCCTCAGAAGGAAGGTTAGACAATCTCCTTCCGTGGTGATACCACCTTGGGAACCCAAGGAGGGGTCACTATGAGCCAGATCTTACTCGATGGCACTGCGATTAGTTTTTGATTTATATGTCACTAAATCTCTGTTCTCAGAGCATATAGAGTAGTGCTCAGCTCTTAGTAAAATAAATTGGTTGAGTGATTTAACTGAGCGGGAGAGAGACTGAAGTAAGTAAATTTGGTTGATGCCTACAAGGATTGGTTTATGTCATATATCTTTACATTCCAATTACCTGTGACTTTTTCATGGTCTCCTTATTTGAAATCCCTGGGTGGTGAAAAACATTTAACACACTTGCTGCTATCCAAAAGGTTGGCAGTTCGGGTCCACCCAGAGGCATCTTGGAAGAAAGGCCAGCTGATCTACTTCGAAAAGACCAGCCACTGGAAACCCTGTAGAGTACAGTTCTACCTTGACACACATGAAGTCTCCATGAGTCAGAGTGGACTCAGGAAGAACTGATTTTTGTGTTTACTTTTTTTTGAGGAGAACAGGGATGTGAACGTAATACACATACTTGGTATTCTGAACCATAACAAAGCAGCATTGCTTCAGTAGGATTTGGTGATTGGTTTTAAAGCCCTTTAGCACAAGACCTGGTACATAATAAACACCAAACAAATGCTGTCTATTAAGGTGTTAATGACATTGATCGTTACTATCTTACAATTTGAATTAACAGCATATTAACATTGTTTGATTCATTTCTGCCCTATAATTTTCTTAAAGTCTGTGAAGTCTGTTCTAAGGATTGTTTAAAATGGATTATCAGGTTGATGTATAGCTTATTTACAGAAGAAACATTTTTTCAAGAAACTCAATTTGGATTTTATGTTAGAAATTTCAAATGTGCATTTGGGTAGTAGTAATTTGAGTCATTCAAGCAATACTCTTGGGCAACCTCTATTCTAGGTGCTGGGTATAATACATTTAACATGTGTCAGACCTTATTCTAGGTACTGTATTAAAAGGAAAAGGACCTGGGATTTGCTATCTAGGAAAGTCTTAAACTACAATGAAAAATAATATTTTTTGTGTACTCAGATGTGATTGACTTTTAATATTTTGAGAAGTTACATAAAATAGTTTTCACCAAACTGATTAACTGTTAGATCCTTACAGCATTTTTCAGTTGATATTTTGGCTTCTAGAGTTATTTTCTTGATCTGGCCTTGTTATATTTTTTTCATTATACACAAAATACTGCTGTTTAGATGCTAGTTGTTAGGCAACTGTTTATGTGTTGTTTCTTGGGAGAAAGAAGTCCAAGCTTGGGAGAATATTTATTGAAAAAGTGTATTTTGTACATCTGAGGAATGTGTTTTATACAGTGCATACACACATTTCTTCTCCTTCCTTGACTATGTATGGCTTCTTAGCCCATGACTTGTTATGTAGGGTGAGATTTGATGCCTACAATTGGAGAAGGATAACTTCCTCATGTAAGTAGCTTTCTCTGTATCTAATTCATGTTTTGTCCCTACTTTTTTCGTGAAGTAAAAATTAATTTCAACCATCTTCACATTACAATGCTTCAGTAACAGACTTGGAAGGAAGGTGGTGTGGCTCGAGGAAAGAGGGTTTTTTGTGTTTTTTTTTTTTTTTTTTAGTAATATAGTGGATATTATTTATAATATGGTTGTGTATAGATATAACCAGTGAATTAGGGAAGGTTGCTTAAACTATAAATAAAAAACAACAGACCACCACAGTTAAGAAATGTGGATATTTTCTCACTGCTATGGCATTTATAAACTAGAATATTGGTAGGTTAATTAAAGCAGGTACACTACAATATAATGAAAGTATAAGCCAACATGGGAAGCCTTCTTTACAGTGAACTGTATTGAGAACTCTTAACACTTGGATGATTTTAAAAAGTGATTATGATGAAAATCATAATATAATACGATATACATATAAATTGAATTCTTATAAGTAGAAATACATATAAGTTGAATTCTTTCTCCTTGATGAAATTCAGTGTCATAAAAAAATTATTACAGAAATGATGACGTAGTGAATTAGTTGAATATTTTCTTTCTTTGATAATGACCACCAAAAACCCCACTGCTGTCAAGTTAATAGTGACCCTGTAGGACAGAATAGATCTGCCCCATAGGATTTCCAAGGCTGTAATCTCTATGGAAACAGACTGCCTCATTTTTCTCCCATAGAGCGGCTTGTTGTTGTTGTTGTTATGTGCCATCGGGTCGGACCCAACTCATAGCGACCCCTCCTTGGGTTTCCGAGGCGGTATCACTACGGAAGTAGATTGCCCCATCTTCCTTCCGAGGAGTGGCTGGTGGATTTGAACTGCCAGCCTTCTGGTTAGCAGTCAAGTGCCTTAGCCACTATGCTACCAGAGCTTTGAATCGCAGGCCTTTTGTTTAGCAGCTGAGTGTTTTAACCACTGCACCACCAGTGCTCCAATGATGACCCCAGAACTGATTTATTTAAATGATGTCTTTAAAGTTAACTGTAGGTTTTGACAAATGTATTTTGTATTACTTAATCTGGAAATGAAATTGAAATTTCAGTTATAGTACAAACCACTCTAATATTCTCTTACTTGACGCACTAAGAAAAATTAGCTATTTTCATCTTGCGATAAGTAAGTCAACCTGTTTCATTCATTGTCTGATGTTGAAAATAATAATAGGCAACGTATTAAAACAAACTAAAAAGCTTCCAAATTATATGTTAATATTTTTCCTAATTAACATGCTTTATGGTAACACTGACTGATGTGTTTATATTTGCTTCTCTTCTGGAAAGCTTTTATATTCTCATAAGTCTTTGGGTTACATAAGGTGAATTAAGTAATTAAGCTTCTCCATGACTCTACTCCTTAAATTTTGAATGTAATGTTAACCAGCATTTCGTTTCAAGATCCTTTACAACTGTATTATACCAAATAAAAGATGTTTTGGCAGTCATTTTAAAAAGCTCAAACTATTTAAAACTTCAAATTTAGATGATTTTAGTAAGCATTAGTTTACCTGACTCTTTTTATTTTTATAATTTGGTAAAAATTGAGCCCATTGTTCTTATAGAACACTATTCTTGTGCAAATTAGTTACCTTATTTATGAAAACTTTGCCTTTTTAGGATTTCTGGTTGAGAATGAATTAGGTTTGTGATATTGTCGAGGCTTTGTTGTCTTTTCTCCACATTTCTCGATGTTGACACCTGCAATGACATGTGAATAAAAATATGTTCTGATAAATATTGCACCAGTTTAACAGTGTGTGATTACTAATTGGAATGAACATTACAAATAGGGAAGGTGATTATTCTGTGCATAGATACAAACTGATTTTTGTTTTATTTTTACTTTTTATAACTTATCTCCATATATTATGTTCTTTTAATGCTTTTGCTTTAGAAATTGATATGGGCTTGGTAATATTGTCAGAGGCTATTTCTATTTGATGTTATAACAGCTGGTAAAAAGTGAAAATTCAGTTAAACTAGTTTTTTGATGGTACATAAAGTTAAATTAGAACCTAAAACATTTTTTTACTTTCCAGAAACAACCTAAATTTTAGTTAAAGTTGTGTGCACAGCACATAAATGCATGAATTAATGTAATACTTTGATTAACTCGGTGCTAGAAAGCTCAAAAAGGATTTGAGGAATTGAAGTCTTAAAGTCAGATAACATGAAAATACTTACTTAAAAATAATTGTATTATTAAATAAATGATAGTAAGTAAGAAATAATAATTTACTGTTTTCTTAATAGTAAAAAAAAAAAAACAGTTTCCAGCTTTAACCCAGTCCTTTGTACCTTATGTATCCTCTGTTCAGTCCTATAAAATTCTGATTAAAAATTAATACTTGGCCTACAAGGTCAACAGGAGCATATTAGCAATTCAGAAAAAAAGGGTGGCCAGAAAACTTAATTAACTACAATGCCACCTTCAGTGAGCATTGCAGTTAGTCTAAATTTTATCGTGTATTCATGTTACACATCAGGCTTATTTCATTGGCAAGCAATTATTGCAATTTTCTTTTCACTTTTTAAACTATGCTGTTTAATCTTTCTGAGGCATCTAATTCTACTGAGGGAAAAATGGAAATGTAGTACAGGGCCCAGTTGTATAGTGGCTCTAAAGGCACATAAATGAGTTTCCATTTTTGTTATAAACTCCATTCCTCCCTGTCTTACACCTGTTTCTTTGTTGTGCCCTTTGGTTTAACATTGTTCTCCTCCCCGATTTTCCTCTTCTCCTCATTACAAACTCATGGCAGGGTCTGCTTGGTGAGCTCATTCTCTTACAACAGCAAATTCAAGAGCATGAAGAGGAAGCACGCAGAGCTGCTGGCCAATATAACACGAGCTATGCCCAACAGAAGCGAAAGGTGATGGATGGTTTAAGGGGGCTACTGATGTGTTCACACTAATCAGCCATTTCTATCAAGATTTCATGTCACCTTAATCCATTCATAGATTCCAATTAGGAGAACTTACTTTTGACAGAGTAAAAATTTGAGAGATACTTAATACAGACTTGTAGCTGCCATAGAGTAGGTAGTATAGACAGATCCCAAAATATCAAGCATACAAATTTAGTTTCTGAAAATTCGATCGTCAATGTCCATGAATTTGTATTTAGAGTTACGTATTTCTGTTTACTTGGTCTAATTATTAAGTCGGCCTGAATTTTGACCAACTTATCTACCTGTTCTCCAGATTTTCATTTCTAAAATGGAAAAGATTCCTGTGTATTAGCAAATTAAATTGTTTAAAGTATGATATTGTATTTGTTTAAGGTACAATATATCATTATCAGGGAATTTCATACTTCTTCCAGAAGAAAAATATTTTGATTTAACTTTTGGGCAAAGAAGTATAATTCTTATGTTTTAATAAATTCAGTGAATAAAGTTTCTCACATTCATTAATAAAATCAGTGCAAAAATATCTCACCTTGGACCCCCTAAGGGACTGAACATTGGAAATTTAATGTAATTCTAATTGCCAAAGAACAGATTCTAATAAAAGTTAGCACAAAAATATTTGATTATTGCTACAATCAAGAGATCCTTGAAAACATGCTTTCGTCTATTGGATGATCCCAAAGCATGGACTCTCAAGGTTAATATACTGAGGAGATTCTTAGGTCAAAATGAAATAAATGCAATAATTTTAAATTATACTCTGAGATCTTGAAGTCTGCCAGTTATATATTAGCTCAGAAAAAGGGTTTTAATGTTACATAGAACTCTTTTCTTTAAAAAAAGAAAAATATCATATAATTAGCTTCCTGTAGTACTAACAGTTAAATCAACCAATATTACAGTTACTTATTTAGTGCATTAACTCTGCTGACTAACCATTTGGTGGTGGTTAATACTTGAGGGTGTTAGTCATACTTCTGTTTATTTTTTTCAGTGTCACTTGCTGGTTTTTCTCAATTCCATGGCTGTGGAATCGACTCCTAGTTATTTCGCTTTCAGTGAATGAACAACATAGTGAGAAATAGAAAATAACAAGTTACGACTTTCAGAGTTAGTTAAACAGTGCATTCAGTCAAGGGAGGACTTAGTATAAATAGTATTTTAGCATTCTCTGTCCTGCATGCTGTTGAGGGAACCATTTAAATATTCTACTAAGCTGGATTTTAGACTGACAGCTGAACAAGAGGTATCCACACTTCAGCTTTATTATAAAATAAAAAGCAGGGAAGGAGCTAGTATATTCTGGTATTGTAATTAGAAATTTGAATATAGTTCTAGGTATAAGTTGTTCTTAAGTGTATTTTCACAACAGTAAAGCAATTTGAAATGTATCTTGCAGAACTACCACTTTAAGATTCTAAATATGGTTTAGAAATAATGGATGTACTTTTGAATCTGATAGTTGAAAGGATATTAGTAATGAATTCACTTTTTTTCTACATTGCCAAAAGTTAATGTTCATATTAGGTCTGCTTTAGGCATTTGACTGCTAAGCAGAAGGCTGGCAGTTCAAACCCACCAGCCACTCTACAGAAGGAAGACTGGGCAGTATACGTCTGTAAAGATGTACTGGCTTGGAAACCCAAAGGGGGTCGCTATGAGTCAGAATCGACTTGATGGCAGTGAGTTTGGTGGGGTTTTTTTTTTTTGTTTTTTTTTTTGGTTTTACTAATCAGATATCATTTCTGTTTTAATATTTATTGGGTTATCCACTTAACCCTTATATCCCTCCCTTTTTGCATTTGTAAGATAGAATCTGATAGGACTGTCCCTCCATTTCTTTTGTTTATTAAGGTACACTTAGTAGAGCACCAAACAGAGCTTGTTCCTGCTCACTTTGGCATTAATTTGTGTAAAAGTACATGGGCTTTAAAAGCAATCTGTGCCCTTCTATAATG